ATAGACACTACACTGCATAGTCGACCTCTGAAACTTCATGCCCTTTGACCATCACCTCCCATTCTGTAGAACAAATCAGTCAACAAAATGAAAAGATAACCTGAAGAATGCGAAAAATTATTTGCAAGCCATCCACCTGATAAGGGGTTAATACCCAAAATCTATAAGGAACTCATACAACTCAATAGCAAAAATACCAATTAACTAATTTTTTAAATGGGCAAAGGACTTGAACAGACATATTTCCAAAGAAGACGTACAAATGGCCAAAAAGTATATGAGAAGGAACTCAACATTTTTAATCATCAGGGAAATGTAAATCAAAGCTACAGTGTGATACCACTTCATGCCTGTTACAATGGCTATTATTTAAGGGGAAAAAAAGGTAAATGTTGATGAGGATGTAGAAAAACTCTTGTACACTGCTGGTGGGAATGTAAAATGGTACTTCTAATATGAGGAATAGTACAAACTATTCCTCATAGTTTGTACTCAACTCAAAAAACTAAAAAAAGTGCTACCATAATACCTACTTCTGGGCATTTATCCAAAGGAATTGAAATCAGGATCTTGAAGAAAAACCTGCAATCCCTTGTTTTCTGCAGCACTATTCACAACAGTCAACAACCTCAGGACCCACTGACGGGTGCATGGTTAAAGACAATGTGGTACATACATACAATGGAATATTATTCAGCCTTTAAAAGAAGGAAATCCTGTGGATGAACCCGGAGGGTATGTGAAATAAGCCAGACACAGAACAACAAATACAGCACGACCTCATTTATATGAGAGTATTGTTTTACCTCTGGATAAACACAAAGAACTCTCCAACCAAATGGAGATGCATCACCTTATTTGCAAGCCCACCGGAGATCACAGACACAGGCAGAGGGAACAGAGGACGGGGAGATGAAGAGAAACTATCCAGCCAGGACAGCTCAACCACCACTTTACTAGCATTTGCCACAGTCGAGATTTATTTCCACACAGCGACTCACCCGCAGCACCAACCTCAAGGCCCCTCTCTAACTGACGGCACCCGTGACGCTCAAGATCATCTTAGACAAGAGCAGAAGCTCCAAGGCGCATTGGCCTCCTGAAGCGGCCGTCCCCCTTCCCTCCGTGTCCCTGGGCTGTCTCCAGCAGACAGCAGCAGACGCCTAGATGAGGGTTTGATCAATGGAGGCCAGGTTGATATTGATAAAGCAGCTGCAGTTTCTGCAAATCACCCAGCACTCATAGATACTGAAGATTAATCTTTACAAATACGGGGCAAAGGGGGAGAAAAAAACCAAGTCGATTTAGTTTCCGATTATTACTTGCTCCAGAAAGCACTGAAGAGTCAAAAGTTTAACTGATGTACATTAGACAGGGAGACAAATCCAGAAATATCACCCAATTACCCAGTAGCTTCTAGAAGGTATTTTTCATGACAGCAGGTGGGTTTGCCTCTTCTAAATTAGGAAGGAGACAAGACACCACTAAAAGGATGTTGACTTGGCCTGGCACACAAGTGCTAACCTCAGCGGACAAATGTAAGCCTGAATATTTGTCCTCAGTCTACAGAGTGTCCTTGAAAACACATTTCTACTGATTTCCTTGTTATTTTTATCTTATACTGTATGTGTCTGTAGAAATTATCTGACTGTTCCTTCCTGGAACCAGATGTTTTTTCATTTTTTATTTTTTTACTACAAAGAAATAATAAATAAAAGTACTTAGCCCCCCCCCCATGCCTCTGTTTTCACATCCAGAGAATGGGTACAAGCCCAGGATGTAATGTACAGCACATTTTATCAACATGGACACTAATGGCATTTGGGGCCAGATAATTCTGTTTGTTGGGGGGCCGTCCTGCGTGTTGTACGAGGTTTAGTTGTATCCTTGGGCTCTACCCACGAGATGCCAGCAGCAGCCACCTCCCCACCCCCAGTTATGTCAACCAAAAATGCTCCAGATATTTCCAAATGTTCCCTGGGGAACAAAACCACTTGTGTATACAGCAATGTGCAAATATATCACAAGAGGTGGATTAGTGCATTCAAAAAACCTTCCACAGTGTATTCACATCAACAACAAAATCAAATTCCACACCTCATGCCAGTTATAAACCCTTCATTCATGTCCAGGTCACAGCCAAAGAACCTGAGGCAGAATCTTTTAAAACATGGGTCACAAAGCAGTTTCCTGAGGTGAGGTCCAGCTGCCTGCCTCCATAGCTGCACACAGCCCCATGCTGAGAAGGCCCCACTCTGCTGCTGGTGTCTTGAAATTCCTATTAATTTTTTTAACAAGGAGCCCCACATTGTCATTTTGCCCTGGTCAGAGTGTGTAGCCAGTCTTGTCTGAGGTGTGTTTTAAGCTCAGGATCCCGAATGGAGCTATTATCTCAAAGAAATATCTGCACCCCCAGGTTTACTATGGCATTATTTACACAAACCAAGATACGGACACCATCTAAGTGTCCAATGACAGATGAATGGATAAAAAAATGTGATACACACACACACACACACACACACACACACACACACAAAATATTATTCAGCCAACAAAAAAAGGAGGAATCCTGCCTTTTGCAACAACATGGATAAAATTAAGGGCATTATGCTAAGTGAAATAAGTCAGAGAAAGGCAAATAGTGTCTGATCTCATTTACATGTGGGAGCTAAAAAAAGCTGAACTCACAGAAACAAAGTGGCTACCAGGGGCTGGGAGATGGTAGAAATGGGGAGATGTTGGTCAAAGGGCACACACTTCCAGTTATGAGTAAGTTATGGGGATCTAATGCACAGCATGATGATTTAGTTAATGATACTATATTGTATATTTGCAAGCTGCTATGAGAGTAGCTCTTAAATGTTCACATACACACATACACACACACAGGTAACTGTGTAAGATGTTAGATGTACTAACTAACCTAATTGTGATAATCATTTCTAAAGATATAAGTATACAAAATCATCACATTGTACACCTTAAACTTACATGATGTTATTTGTCAATTATATCTCGATAATGCTGGGGATAATAAAAAATAAAATAAACTCGGGTTCCTGGATCCCACTGTTTATAACAGTTCCACCTGATATAAAATCCTACAAGAAAAACCTCTTTGACTGTTTGACTTAAAGTGACAGAGAAATTTCTTTCTAAAACCTAAGAATTCCAAGTAAAAGTAATCTGTCATTTTAAATGCAGAATAAGTATAGCAGACACACAGGATGGGTCAGAAGACAAAACGCTGACACCAGACTGGGAGGGTTAAGGGACTTCATGGAAATGAATACAAGAATATTTAAAATATTTAAATTTGGGGACACCTGGGTGGCTCAGTCAGTTGGGCACTGACTCCTGATTTCGGCTCAGGTCATGAACCCAGGGTCATGGGATCGAGCCCCGTTCAGGCTCTGTGCTGAGTGTAGAGCCTGCTTGGGATTCCCTCCCTTCCTCTTTCTCTCTCTCTCTCTCAATCTCTCGCTCTCTCTCTCTCTCTCTCTCTCTCTCTCTCACCTTCTCTCCCCCGCCCTCTACCCTCCCTTCCCTGCTCTCTCTCTCTCAAAATAAAGAAATAAACTTTAAAAATAAATAAATATTTAAATTTTCTAATCTTTTTTTTTTCTTAGCTCATTTAGAAGTAAAAACAGAAATCACATCATTTGAGAGGAATGAAGAAGAACAATTTTTATAAAACCAAAATGAGATTCCTGAACTCTCTACTTGCATATGGGGGATAAAACTGACCAAGCATTTTCCTTGTGGACAGGGAACAACCGGGTCCCCAGACTGAGTCCTCTGCTGATGAGAATTTCCAAGCACAATTCACACCTGCAGGATTTGCTGAACCTGATTCCAGTTTAGTATTAATCACTTCTCACTTCACTCCAACTACCTCCCCACCTGCCCACCAAAACATTTAGAGCAAAGACCTTTTATATGACAGGAACTCTCTAGACTGCATTTAGATGCCACATTTAGTCAGCCATCATGAAGACAAGACAGCACTTCCAAGGAGCTGACCCAATGTAATAATATCCTGCTCCACCGGTCTAACATTACACTGGGTGAGATGTACAGTCTCTACTTCAGAAAGAAAAACTGAAGGACAGCATGCCAAAGATGTATTCCAATCACTTGACTGAGTGAGTCCTGAAACCCATGTGGCAAAGGAAGAGATAAAACTTGGAGGATATGGCAGAATCACAGAATATACAAAAATGTTTCCAAAAGGGGCCTCACCCAATACTGCAAATAAGATGCGTGCTTTTGTCTATGGGAAAACCATTAAAAATAGCTTTGTTTGTTTCTTGGCATCCTTCCCCCACCCCACCCCACCCACCCCCCGCCACTCGATCAAAAGTGAATCCTTTGCTCTGCTGAGACTCTGGGTGTGTTTAGAAAAGGAAATTTAGGGGCGCCTGGGTGGGTCAGTCGGTTAAGCGCCAGACTTCAGCTCAGGTCATGATCTCACGGTTTGTGGGTTCGAGCCCCACATCAGGCTCTGTGCTGACCGCTCAGAGCCTGGAGCCTGCTTCAGATTCTGTGTCTCCCTCTCTCTCTTGCCCCTCCCCTGCTTGTGCTCTATCTCTCTCTCTCTCAAAAAATAAATAAACATTAAAAAAAAAGAGGAAAGGAAATTTAGAAGTGGAAACTGGAAAGAGATACCCTGTGTAATAAGAGAGGAAAGGTTCTGGGGTGCCCAAAGAAAAGGAGGGAGGGGTAGAGCTGGGGAGAGAAAAGAAGGATCTAGAAGCCTACATGTGCCAGTCTTCGATGGAGTCCCATGAACGCACACACCCTGTGAGCAGGTTTCCTGTAGGCACTGGGGCTCACGTGAGACATGAGACAGACAACATGGGTGTAGCAGCATTCTCACGCAGAGAATCCAACACCGAGGCTTTTTATTCTAGGAAGCAACTTTATTCCTGCCAGCACAGCTCAGTTGGGTTCGTACCCACAGAACTGAGCCCTGAACACCACGTGGCATAGTTTTTATATATTTTCTACGTCTCTGTCTCCCATATATGGTAATACACACAAACATGCAGTCTGATTAAGTGGTCTCATATTACAAGGTCACGAGGGATGTTGTCACATATGTGTATAGCCAGGTTACCTTGAGGGTTTTTTTTATTTTTTCTCTTTAGAGAGAGGACCCTACTGCATGGGGAGGACCAGGGTAAGAAGCAAATGGGGCCCTCAGAAGAGCCTCCTCCCTGAATTAGCAGGAATTAGTGAAAGTAAACTTCACCTAAGTTTTTGAGGATCAAACAAATCACGACTGACATCCGGATGACTCTCCTTTGTTATAAAATGTTCGGCAGTTGCCAACCTTGCACTGGAAACATGTGACGCCAGAGGTCAGGAACATTTCTCAGCCATCTCTGGGTCCTGTGCATTGGCATGGCAGCCCTATCAGTGCACAGCCCATCCTGGATCTTACCATTAGTGTCCACGCTTGCCCAGGTGTCAACAGCTAATATCTGCACCTCTTTGCTTGAAGCAGAACCCACTGATGGTGGCCAGGGCCCACTACGCCTGTGCATATGGCACGTTAGAAGCACTGGGGAACTGATACACCCCTGGGGGAGGGGTTCACCCAGTGACTGGAGGGGTGTAAAAATACCTCAGTTCCTTTGCTCCTCAGGTGAGATACCTCTGGAATGCATGTTCTATACTGGAGCCAGCCAATTTTTTGTGCACTAGGCCAGAGAGTAAATATTTTAGGCTTTCTGGCCGCTCAGAACTACTCAACTCTGCTGCTGTAGTGCAAAAGCAGCCATAAACAATACAGACATGAACTGGAGTCAATGCATCCAGAGAAAGTTTACAAAAACAGATGGCAAGCCAGATTTGCCATGGGCTATGGTTTGTAAACTCCTGTTCTATGCCATTTTCCAGAGTTAACCAGAGAGATTAAACTCTTTGATGCCCACAGTGGTAAGAACCTTGTTAATATACTAGTTTTCAGTTCCCTTCCCTCCCAGCCTGTCCTCTCACCCCATCGTCCGTAGCTTCACAGATTATTTCCACTCGAATCCTTGCCTCAAAGTCTGCTTTCAACTAAGGCAGTTGCTTAAGGTACTTTTGGCTGCAAGTAACAGACTGGTGAATTAAAAGTGATTTATGGGCGCCTGGGTGGCTCAGTAAGTTAAGCGTCCGACTTCAGTTCAGGTCATGATCTCATGATTCATGGGTTTGAGCCCGAATCAGGCTCTGTGCTGACATCAGCTTGGAGCCTGGGGCCTGCTTTGGATTATGTCTCCCTTTCTCCCTGCCCCTCCCTTCCTCTCAAAAATAAACATTAAAAAAAAATTTAAAGTGATTTACATGACACAGTTTTGTTATACCTTCCACAAAAGCTCAGGTGGTCCAGGTAAGTTAAGTCAGTAATGTCATGGCACTGGGGTTATGATCCTTACAGCTCGTTGCCAAGAACACAGAACACGTCAATGCCAAAAACAAACAGGATAAGCATGCCTGGATGAGGCCACTTGAGGCCCAAGCCCTGGAGCACGGGGAAGGAAGGAGCCCACCTTCTCTGGGCGTACAAACAACTGGCACACGAACAAAATGAGGGAACTGTCAACAAAGAAGAATGAGAAAAGACTGTTGAGGGTAGACAACCAGCATGCACTCAACAGCAGGTGTTCAGTAAATGCTGTTTCAATACACAAATGTATAGGTCAGTGGATGTGAACAATGGATAGCAACTTTCCAAAAGAAAGGTAAAGTAGAAAAGGTCACCCTGGACATAAGAGCAGTGAAGAACAAGCCCAGACTGACTTGGATATTCAGGAAAGATCTTAGAGGCTCTAGATAGCTCGATTATGGAACTCTGAGCCATCAGTGCAAACTAAATGGGGATGTGAAGGTGACTTTATTAAAATCAAACACAAACATGTTCTCCCCGGGTTGATAATGGGTACCGCATTTCACAGTTCATAAAGTTCATGTCCACCCATTAATCTTACCAGTTGATCAAAGAAAAAAAAAAACAAAAAAGAAAAAAAAACAGGTAATAGGTCAGGTACTACAAAGTACAAAATACTTCTGAAAGAGATTAAAGACTGAAATAAATGGCTACAAGGAACAGAGAGTTCATTAACTAGAAAACTCAATATTGTTAAGGCGGACATTCTCCCCAGTTATCTATAGAATCAATGCCATCCCACTCAAAATACCAGCTGCTTTTTGGAGAAATTGACAAAATGAGTCTCAAATTAATATGAAAAGGCTAAGAACCAAAAATAGGCAAGGCCATCTTGTAGGAAAACAAAGCTAAAGACTTATGCTGCCAAGTATCAACATTCAGTGTAAAGCTTTAATAAACTTACAGTAAAATGGCACAAGGGTAGACAGTCTAACAGAAGAGGAAGTCCAGAAAATGTGTGACAAAGACATCACTGTGATTCAGAGAGTAAAGATGGTCTTTTCAGCAGGTGTTGCTGGGTCAAGTGGATATCAGTATCAAATGCTGACAACGAAGCAGGGCAACCGGAACTCGCATACGTCTCTGGCAGAACTATAGCTTGGTATAACCACTGTGGAAAACTGTTGGGCTATACCTACCCAAAGCTGCATATATGTACACCCTGTAACCCATCACTTTCACATCTGAGTACATACGTAACAGAAATTAGCGCATATATCTACCAGAAGGCTTAATACAAGAACGTTTATAGTGGCTTTATTGGTAATTGCCACAGACTGAAAACAGCCCAATGTCCATTACCTGTGGTTTGTTTACAGAGTGGAACGATACACTGTGAAAAAACAAAGCAGGGCTATGGGCAAGAAATGACTGAACTTACCTCAGAAATATGTTGAACAAAGGAAGCCAGAGGCACACACAAAAATGCATAGAGTATGACTCCATTTATACGCACTTCAAGAACAGACAAATCCACTAAGTGAAAGAAATCAGAAGAGTAGTTATCTCTGAGAGATATTGATTGGCAAGGGGCTCAAGTGAGCTTCCTGGGCTCACTTAAAGTGTTCTAGATCGACATGGCAGTTACAGGTCCACATCTATGCAAACATTTATCAAGCTAAACACTTAGGGTTTGTTCACTTCACTATACATGTGTCCTACTTCATTACACATGATAAAAAGTCTAGGAACATGGTTAAGGCGTGTTCAGTGAAGGATTTCCCGAAGATCTGGTACCTAGTGTCCTGAGGATTTAACTGAGTGCAGAGATAAAGCCTCCAATACTAGGAAAATAGACAAGGAGGATGTCCTAAGTCTTGACCCCTCGGGTTATCGTCGCTGGGCTCTCTTGGACAGGGAAGAGCACCTTGACCATTAACTGGGAAGTATAAGACACACAGGAAGTGAAATGATCAGTCTTGCCCACTAGAAAAAGTAGCCAGAAAGAGACAGAGATCGTGGCTAAAAGAGGAATCAGAAGAACTATATCGTTCACCAAATCCCAGAGTAAATCATGATAATAACAGACAGCTTTTTAAAAGTGCTTGCTACATGCCAAGCATTTACAAGTTTCAATCTGCTCACTGAAGCTTCACAACAACCTAAAAACACACCTAGTGAATGGCACAGTTGAGATGCAAACAGAAGAGGATGGCCCCAGAACTCAGCCACCCCAGCCCCATGCCATACTTCCTAAGGACGAAGAGGAATCGTGTCTTGAAGAAGCATTTCCTGCCATCTTCTCTCCCCACTGGACTGGGTCTCAGGTCACACCTATGCATTTCTCTCTTTCTTAACACTCTTCACACTCCCTCATCATTGTCTGGTTTTGTATTCGTTTCTTGAGGCTGCTGTTACGAAACCACGGCAAACTCAGTGGTTTAAAACAACAGAAATGTGTTCTCTCCCAATTCCAAAGGCCAGAAGACAGAAAGCGGTTTCAGTGAGCTGACATCAAAGTGGCAGTGGGGCTATGCCCCCAGAAGCTCCAGGAGGAACTCATTCTTGCCTCTTCCAGCTTCTGGTGGGTGTGGCATTCCTTTGCTTGTGGCTGTATCATGCCAATCTGTCTTCATATTTCCTTGTCCACTTCCGTGTGTGCAATCTCCCTCTGCCTTTCTCTTATGAGGACAACTATAAACAGATTAATGCCCCACTCAGATAATCTGGAATAATCTCCCGATTCAATATCCTTAACTTCATCACACCTATGGACTCTTTTTCCTCATATGGTGATATTTACAGGTTCCAGGGATTATAACCTGATATCTCTGGGTGGCTACTGTTCAGCCTGCTATCTCTAAATAATTCTATCACTATTACCACTATCTCTATATTACCATCACTATCTCTGTATTAACTCTATGCACTCCTCAACAGCTGAGGCCATCTGTAGCCATTTTCATATAGCCACATATTTTGACACTCCTCCTATTAAAAGAGGGATCTACATCCTTTCCCTTGACTCATGAACCTTGTGATTGCTTTGACCGATAGAACAGAGTGAAAATCACACTGTTCTAGTTTCTAATCCAGGTTTTAAAAGACGGTCAGCTGCTACTTCCTATCCCTAGGTACACTCACTCTTGGAACCCAGCCACTATGCTATGAGAAATCCAAAGTGCATGATGAGGCCACATGAAAGTGCCCCAGGCAACAGTACCATCTGAACTCCCGGCCAACAGCCAATCTCAACTGCCAGCCATGTGTTTGAGCCATCCTGAATGGCCAGCCCCGTCAAGACCTCAGATGTCTCCACCCCAGAGAACCACCGACTTTTCAGTCAACAGAGTCACGAGTAATAATGCCAAATATTTGTCTCCAGCTATCATGTGAGCAGGTTGGGTTTTTTTATGCAGCAACAGATGATCTGATCACTACCTTATTCATAGTTCCTCCATACCTAGAGCTATGCCTGGAGGTCTTGATGCCCAAGGAATGTGGAATACATTAAAAACTACCAAACTCTAGCAGGTATGGCCAAGAAGTCGGGCTGGAGATGAACAACTATTGACATTAGATCCCAAAGAAATGACAAGGTGATGGGGTACAAGAGGATGACTGTGAAGAAACACTTTTCTTGGGTACCAATATTATACATAGATTATAATTATGCAATTCCTCATCAAAATCCCCCAAGGGAGCAACAGAGAGATTGATTATGCAGAACTGGATCACACGATTATGGAGGCTAAGAAGTCCCACAGTCCACTGTCTGCAAGATGGAGACCCAGGAAGTCCAGTGGTGTCAGTGAGCCTGAGTCCGAAGGCCTGAGGACCAGGGAAGCTGGTAGTGTTAACCCCAGTCCAAGAACAGAATATGATGATGTCCCAGCTCAAGCAGTGGAGCAGAAAAAAGGGGGCAATTCCTTTCCTCCACCTTTTGTGGTATTCAGGCCCGCCCCCACTGGGGAGGGCGATTACTTTACTGAGCCCACTGATTCCAATGCTAATCCCATCTGGAAACACCCTGAGAGACACACCAAAAGAACATTTAATCTGGGCACCCCGTGGCCCTGTCACAAGCCTTGCTGGGGGTGGAGGTGGGCAGGGACAGTGTCTAGCAGGACCAAGCTCAACAGAGTCTCGATGTTTACTGATTAAGAGGTACACAGACTCTGCATATCATTCGTTTGCTTCCCTTTTAACCCTTCTGTTAATTTAAGAAACCATGTACTGAGTACTTACTGACAGCCAGGCATTGGTTGAGGTGAAGGATATTCAGCAGTCAGCAAGTTCCTTCCTTCATGGAGCTTTCGACCACAGAGTATTTAGGGAGACCTCAAAACCACAGGGAGGGGGCTCAAGGCCCCGTTCCTGACCTTAATTACCTTCCTCTACTGCCGTGCTCACCAAAAATCATTTTCTAAAAACATTAGACCATTCAATACTACTGAGTGTCTCCTCCAAAATGGATACGGTGCAAGCAGTAAATTAGAGAAGATTAACTTGGCAAAGGCCTTCCCTTCGTTTTGTGGCAACTGTTACAATTTCCTGTTGTGGGAGATGGATGGGCCGGTCCCTTCTGCCCAAATGA